TATTATTATTATTATTATTATTATTATTATTATTATTATTATTATTATTATTATTATTGCGTCTACTATAGAGAGGTCAGAGCGTGGAAGCGGGAAATTGGAATTGTGGAAGTGGGAGGGAATTGGAATTTGGAATTTGGAATTGTAGCTGTGGGGGAAGGGTGAAGGGGGAAGGAGGAGAAGTAGGAGGAGGAGGAGGAGTAGCAGGAGAGGAAGAAAGGAATGTATTTTTGTGTTGGGGGTTTTGATTAGGTAGGTAGATAGTTCGATATTCGAGGTTTTGTTTATTTCAAAGGGAGTAGGGGGGGCCGGTATCTGCTGTAGTTTAGTAATGGGAGAAAAAGAAAGTGGAGGAGGGGCCATTGACTAATAGGTATGTGGAGCCCCCCTTTTCTTTTTTCTTCTTTTCATATATATGTTTTGCTATATATTTTGCTACGTTCTAAAAATCTTAGAGGCGAAAGAGTGGATCAGCTGCTCTTACAGACAGGGATATCGGCTAGGTGAGGTGGTGACTTGCTCGGTGCTTGGTGCTTGGTGCGTGAATCTATCTATCTTTCTACGGAAGGGATCCCTGCGATACGAAGCGAGCTTGGCGTCTGTTACAGGAAAGGAAAGGACATGGACAAGCCAGTCAGTAGGTAGTACCGGTAGTGGTAAACAGGCAGCGCACTGACTACCGTATCAGTAGTTTCATTCGTGAAACTTTCTGTCGTAGCTCCATACTCACGTTCTGATGAAAACTAAATCAAGAGGAGGAGGAGGAGGAGGAGAAGGGTGCACAATAGTGAGAAGAAGAACATTGATTTGGAGCAATACAATTAATTCACACCAGATAGGTACAGAGAGAGGGACTAATTGGTATTATTTGCCTGAGACCCCATGCCGGACGGGTTTCCAGGTCTAGATCATCTCTCTCTCTCTCTCTCTCTCTCTCTCTCTCTATCTATACATATTGTGTGTGCCTGCGCTTCTGAACATGATGAAGATGACATAAGAAATATTACGGGAAGACTAGCAATGTGAATTCGAATGCCGAATAAAGCAAGTCTGTGGGACAGGTAAGGATCGTGCTGTTCCTCTTACATTCCCGCGGATTTCATAGTGAAGGTTGCGGCCTCTTGGGCGTTCTGCGAGTACTGTATCCATAGTCAGTACGGGAATGGCATGGGAAGAGGAAGTTTAAATGTGGAGGTGGGGATGGGGATGGTGGGATTGACTTACGGTGAGATGGGGCTGCAGGATTGTGCTTGTGCCGGCGCAGATCAGATCGCCATTATGGCAGATAACTTTGGTCTGGGCGGCAGAGACACCTTGGACTGGCTTGCCGTTCATTGGGTCACCAAAGATGACGGCTGTTGAGTGGCTATGTGAGCAGGTGCTTCGACCACAAGAAGAGAGAGAGGGGGCGAGGGAAGGAGTGAATGTAAAACGTACCAGAGCTAACCATAGCTGCCATATCAGGAGGCAGCATTGCCGCTGCGTTGTGGACAAGCTGTCCTCCCTGACTAGATGGGATGTCAGTCATCGTCCTTATCCTTGAGTGATAAGTGCAGGAGACGCGTACCTGTAACCGGCCATCACAACCTTCGTGTCGGGGCAAGTAGTCATGGCCTGCATCACCAGCTGGGCCATTTTCTGGCTTCCTTTCGCATCTCCACCCGCCAGAAAGCCGGGAATGTCGGCCGGGTATTCGACACCTTGGACTGCCATGTCGCCTCCGGTCATCTTCATGAGGGCTTTGAAGTAGGGCGGCCCGGACAGCGTGCCGACGTTGCCGGTCTCGGTGGTTCCACGAGCGAAGACGACCGTCATGGCTTTGCAGGGAGCTCCAGCCGCCAAACCGTTCTGTGTGATGAGTAAGCGATTGTTGTAGGTCGGTGATTTTGGAAGTCATATGAGAGGTCGCCTTACCATAGTATCTCCCGCCGCACGGCTATCGATCACTGGAGCTGCCAGGCCCAGAGGGAGCGCGAAAAGGAAAAGAGATGCTGAAGTACGCATATTTGTGGTGGGGAATGTGTATCGGGCGCTGCCACGAAAAGAAAGTAAATTATAAAGTATTGAAAGACTGTGAGAAGAGAGAAGAGAGAAGAGAGAAGAGAGAGGAAGGAATGTTTGTGTAATGAAATGCTTGTGTGCTGAGATGCTTGTGTATGAAAGAAATATACCAGACGTGACGAAGCAGTTTATATATACAAAATCTCCATGACCGGGCCAAATTACTGCTGGTTTCCAAGGCCTCGATGCATGTCGATGCTCAATGTTTGGAGCTACAATCATAAACCAAACAAGAGCTGGAAGTTGCGATTGGCACTCCTGCGCAAGGAGTTTCATCTCCGGAAAAGCTCGAGTTCCAGCTTTTTAGATCTGGTGATGAATTCCCAGCCAGCGTCTTCTTCGTCCTATCTTCATCTCTTCTCTTGGAAGACTTGGATGAAGCGATTGGGTGAAGCGAGGTGGCGTCCTCCGTCGAGATACATGTTTTGCATAGTTTGCACCGGCGCAAGATGTGCCAGATTGGGAAATATTCTTCGTCAGATGCTGATATACGGCTGAAAGCTGCAACTTGCAAGCATCGATCGGGCCAGATATTTACCAGTAGTTGTAAGATGGCATCTCGCTAAGACGTCTCAATGCAGTGTTGATTCCTCGCTCGCGTATTGGATGGACGTTGGGCGGGTCGATCTCGTATAACTGGTGTTGATGATAGATGTTGATGTACTACCGTGACCTGGTCGACATAGTCGCGAAGTTGATGCCGATTCTGATGCTGATGCTGATGCCGATGTTGCTGATGCTGATGCCGATGTTGATGTTGATGTTGATGCTGTGCGGACGAGGGCGAAACTCGTCTCGCCCACGACATGAGACATCAGCTGCGCTGTGACGTCCCACGTGACTTCGGGCTGATATCCTGTATTGATGGGACAACACAATACAACACAATACAATACCAACACAACGCAACGCAACACAGCCGATACCGATATATCAATCACGCCCGTCTCGAGTTTCGTTTCGTGCTCAGAGTCTTTCGCTGATACTACCGTGTTGGTGAGGCTCGAAACTCCATGGCCCCAAGACTGCCTATATGTGCCGCAGGGCGCGCAGGAATCATGATCCGCACCTCGAGCTTCTTCTCCCAACAACCACGCGGCTGATTTCTTCAAGAGGCTCATATCTCGCGTGTACGGTCCGATCGATCTTGTTGCGTTGCAGCTGCAATTCCGGAGAGGGCAATCCAGATTTCGAGCCGTCACCACCGCCGCCGCCGCCAGCTCGCCTCGCATCAGTACTACATACGGACTACATACTACACGACAACCCAACCCAACCTTCCACAGCCTACAACTGTCAACACCACCACATCATAGCACCACAGCACCACAGCACCACAGAAGCCAACCATATCACCACATAGTCCGCCGCGAGACTGTCCTTTCCAGGCAATATCCACTAACCATTTCATAACTCACTATTGAAATCTCGCTGACGATAGCTGACTCGGAACGGCGACCGACAGAGGCCTAGACATCACCGCGCTCTGGTGCGACGTGAGCAAGGCTCTCTCTTGGTCGGAGACCATGCAAGCTGGCAGTGCCGGGCGCCTCCCGATCGAATAGAACAGTCAGGCGTGCATATTGCCAGCTGGGTGGATACAACACGTCCACCACCACCACTTGTACTGCGTTGGTCGGTTCCACGTTCCAATCCGTGAACGACGACTACAAGGCTTTTGTGTGGTTCTGTGAGTGTTGAACATTCAAACATTCTATCTGCAGCTTTTCCGTCACCTCGACCTTGTCTTTTCTTTTCTTATTTTCCTTAAAATCTCGGTTACCGCATACCATCATTACTGTTTCAGCCATATCATACCACCACCCTTTCTTTTTCCACTCCTTCCCCTCCCTCAGTTATCAGTTGCCACTTGTAGCTATCTCTAGTAGCCACCAGAATGTCCTCAGACTCGAGCGACTCCGACGCTCCCGTCAAACCAGCACCAGCATCTGCTACAGCGAAACCAAAGAAGAAGAAAAGGCTGTCGCCTCAAGATGCCATCAATAGGATATGGGAACGGTTCTCTGTCAAGGAGTTCAGTAACGTGACGGTAGTCCTGCCCTCCACATCCTCAATCACCGAGCCCACGATCGACCCCTCCAAGCCTCCCCACGCCGAACAAAACAACCTCCTTGTATCCGAAGATTACGAGCGAGCAGTGCAAGAATGTAGAACACGGGTCAGAAAGCTCGTGAAAGAGTGCCAGCGGGTCAACATGCGTTATCGAGATCCCGACTTCGATATCGACTGGGACCTGAGGATGAGGAGAGGCCATTGTCTTAATAACTTGAAGGACAGGAAATTTAACGTTCATGAGAAATATTCGGAAACGCACTTCACTGCACCGAAATCCGTCAAAAGGGTCCACGAGATTTTCGAAAAACCCACCTTCCTTACCGGAGAACCATCGCCATCGGACGTGAAGCAGGGACGCTTAGGAAATTGTTGGCTCGTGGCAGGCCTGACTGCTCTGGCCAATGTAGAGAATGGTTTGAAGCGTATATGTGTCGAACATGACACAAGTAAGCTTGGCTCATTGCTTGCTATGAAAAGTTCACTGACAACGAATCAGAGATTGGGATTTACGGTTTTGTTTTCCACAGAGGTAATCAATCATTCTTCGATCCTTTTGCTATTTCACGAGAGCGCAAATAGAACTTCGAACCCGAATGTTCTGTCAAACTTCCTTAAACCTTCTAGCCTGTCCCAAGTGTATCACAGCACCTGTTTGACTGATCTTTCTCGCCCTCCACACACCAAGATAGAGAACATGATCATGTCGTACTAATGGTTCCAGATGGAGAATGGATTATTTCCATCATCGACGACAAACTGTATCTGAAGTCACCGGACGTACGTTAGTTCAGAATCATATGAGCATCCCTTGCAGAGTTGGGATCATCGCCAACTATAATTCCTTGAAATCTGGTTTCCGCTAGGAATTGCTGACTTTGTCATCATGCAGTGGAACGTGGCTTCGTGGCATCGCTCCCTGATAAAAGATATCAACCATGAAGATAACGAGGCTGTCTACAAAAAGACATACCAAACAGGCTCACAGGCCTTATTCTTTGGGCATTGCAGGGATCAGAATGAGACCTGGTTGCCTCTGGTTGAAAAGGCGTACGCAAAAGCGCATGGGGACTATGCTTCTTTAGTGGGAGGATGGATAGGGTTTGCCACTTACGTCAAATTCACGATCACTACTAACGAACCCCAGCGAAGGTTTAGAGGATCTCACAGGCGGGGTGACGACAGAACTACTGGCATCCGATATCCTGGACGTTGACTATTTCTGGGAGAATGAAATGCTCAAGGTCAATAAAGAATTCTTGTTCGGCTGTGCCACTGTGAGTTCGTTTTGTAATTTTGACATATTTTCATGTTTTACTTCTCATGGAAATTTCGCCGCTGGCACTGACGGCAGAGTCCAGAACTCAGATATGGGCTTTTGCTGACTTGATACTTCTTATAGGGCGTTTGGAGTGGAGGATATGGGGATAGGGACGGCATAGTGGAAAGGCACGCATACACTGTCGTAGATGCGCGAGTGATTTCCACCGGTGAGAGGCTAGTCAAGCTTCGGTCAGTCGGTGATTTTCCGTTCACATATGTGATTTAGTACTAAATTCTCCAGAAATCCATGGGGAAGTCCGAGAAAAGGCCTCTGGGAAGGTGCCTGGTCTGACGGGAGCAAAGAGTTTACGCCGGAATTTCAAATCGAGATGAATCACCAATCTGGCATCGATTCCTCGTTCTGGATTTCTTACAAAGACTTTCTTCGCAAGATCGATAACATCGACCGCACACGCCTTTTCATGGACAGTCCTGAGTGGCGCATAACGCAAAAGTGGGTGGGAATCGACGTGCCATGGAAATCCGAGTATGAGCAGAAGTTTCAAATCATCCTGAGAAAGGAGTCCCCAGTCGTGCTGGTCTTAGCTCAGCTTGACAATCGATTCTTCGTTGGACTAGACGGACAATATCGATTCGAACTGGAGTTCCGTCTTCACGAAGCCGGCTCCCCAGACGATCATGACTATATTGTCCGCAGTCATGGAAATTACCTGATGTCCCGCAGTGTTGTCGCAGAGCTTAAAAGCCTACCTCCCGGCACATATGCTGTTTTCGTCAAGGTGAAGGCCTCGAGATACGCACACTTCCGATCAGTCGAGCGTGTTGTTAAGAAGCAGACCAAGGGCCGAAACGAAAACGAAAAGCTAGCGCAGGTTGGCATGTCCTACGCTATCGCTCACAGCAAAGGCAAGGACTTTTCAAAGTCCAAGGAGCTTACACAGAAAGAGCACGAGAAGGTCAAAGCTAGAGAAGCTCGGATCAAGCTACGCAAAAAGAACTGGGAGAAGAGACACTTGAGCCGTAAGATCGTGCGAAAGCAGGAGAAGAAGAATCATGAGAAGCGGGAATGCAGCGCAGCCAAGGTCGCCGCTGCAGAAACGGCGAAGAAGGAAGCGATGCCTAAGGCAAAGGCTGTGCAGACTGAAGATGTCAAGGAAGTCGTTCTCGCGAAGAGCGATAAATCAGTCCAGACGGAAGACTTGACTACCTCGTTTACCCCAGAGAATGTGAAGCCCGCCTTCCCAATTGCCGACGACGGAACTTCCCAAGGAGCCGGTGGTATCACAGATGGAGGTCTCGAAACAGGAGATCAATCGAGTCAAACGCAAGAACAGATTTCTTCCCCCGGTCCGGATTCTGAGAAGACCGCAGAGGCTGACATCTCCAAAGAGGCCGAGAAGAGCGTACAGGCTGATAACAACAGCGAGGCGTCCACCGCCGATGGTTCCCAAGGAGCTATGAACACGCCTACGAGCAGCATAGCGAGCATAGCCGGCGACTCTCGACCACAATCCGTCCACTTCCCGTTGGTACAGGTCACTCCAATACCAAAAGCAACCCCATCTCCCAAGAGATCCTCCGCCCATGCAAAATACGTCGAGATCGAAGGCGAGTCAAGCGCAAGCCCCATCTCTGACTTTGAAGAGATGTATTCCGACGACGAGCATACCTTAAAACCGCGAGAGGCCAAGAAGAAGGTCGAGAGTGACGACGAGGATAAGAATAAGAAGAGCCCCTGGAATGCAGTGTGCATTGTTGGGCTCCGGGCTTACAGCAAGGACCAGGATTTGGAGTTGCTGGTCTGGGACGAGAAGCTTGATATGATGGCGAAGGCTCTCGACGCTGCGAAGAAGAAAGGTGTAGAGATTCTGGAGAAGACCTCTAGGGAGGAGAAGGCGGACGAGGCGGACGATGAGGCTGGTGGGGAAGAGAAGACGAACCGGGAGATAGAGGCGCCTAAGCTGCCTGCACTGAAAAAGCAGGGCGTGGCTGCCGCCCTGGAGTGTGAAATACCCCAGGGCTGTGAGCTCGTGGCGTGTGCAAAGAGGAGCGGACAGGAGAAAAGCGAGCTTACCGCGAAAGAAGCGGAGGATGGGCTGTCCGAGATTGCGAAGCAGCTGGCTGAGCTGGCCAAAACATTTGAAAGGCAGTACTGGCCGGTTGAGAACGGTGGAAATGAAGGACTCGTACCGGATGACGGAGAGAAAGATGCGCTGGCTAGCGGGAGGCAACGCAGTCGATGAAGCCTTCTGAAGAGAGCAAATTTCTGGGCTCGGAGAAGAGGCTACATGCAGCTGGTGCTGTTCCCAGCCGCTGCCGCTCCTTGATGCGACACCCGACCACGAACTGAAGACCACGATGAGGATGACGACGTCCAGGTCCAGGTCCGGCTCCAGGGTGGTGGTGTAGGGAAATCCAAACGATCTGTTGCATGGATTGGATCGCGGGTGCGGGTATATGCTCGTTTAGGATAGATCTATGCTCTGATATATTGAGATTGACTCCACTTAAATATAAAAAATTCTCGCTTGCTATGTAGATGATGCTACTATCCCTACCCCCTAAATAAAAGACGGACCCGTTTTGTGAAAGAATATTTTGACCGTAAAGCTGACCGCTTATTGAATGTAGCAAAATAACATCTATACTGATTTTCTAATCTTTTGTAAGTCCTCCTTGCGCATCAATCATTGCTTGATATGGCTTTTACCACGAATTATATAAAGAAATAATGAATTTTTGAGGGACTGCTTCCCAAGCGCTGGGGGTTACAACTCCCTGGTCAACCCCTAGTGAAAATATACTTTTCGTCTTTTAATACCCGTCCCAGGCGTAAGAGGGTAGGGTGACCAGGGGGCTTGAAGTGGAAACTAAACTTTTGAGCACCACGCCTGGGACGTACTAGTACTACGTCCCAGGCGCTCCCAGGCGTAACTATTACTCCTCGAGGGTAGGGTTACCAAGGGGATTCAAGGTGGAAACTAGACTTTTGAGGCACCCTCGAGGGGTAATACTTAGGCCTATACCGTGGTAGTACGTAGTACTTGTAGCTCTGAAACCTCCTTTAATTAATACGAGAGCGACTAGTCTCTTACGACTGACGTACGAGTAAAAGAGAAACAAGTTAAAAGTTTGTAATATTTATAAGTTTAAAAAAAGGTATTTAACTGTCTTAAAAATCCGCTTGAAACTTACCCGTCATACTTTTTTTTATCTTATATTCTTCGCATCAATTTATGAAGAGAACTTGATGCCAAGGGGGGAGATCTAGAAGTAGAATAGCTCCGGGGGACGTGCGGTGTAGAGTATACCTAGCCTACACTGCACATTCCCTCCTTTCTACCTAGTTCTTGGATCAATCAATTCAGTTGACCTCTACCTGACCCTCATGCTTCCATCTGCCTAGGAATATTATAATCTAACACTACTCTCAATTGCATATAGCTGTGGCAAAATTTAGTAGTTATTAGAGTTGCGGAGACGTTAGGCGTGGGGGGGCATTGTTATGCATTTCACTCTTTATGCTTATTATATAGCGCAGCTACTACGTACAGTATCAAACAAATGAAACTTGCGTACCTCGTACAAGTCAAAAATCGAGCCTTCCTATAAACATATCTAAAAGTCTTTAAAAAGTAAATACTTTTACTGTCGGTATCACATGTACCGATGAGAAGTACGAATATACAGTGGTACCAATTGTATTCGTGAAGTCTGAAGAGGTCAGCTATCCTTCTAGCTGAAGGGGAGCTATATGCTGGTGCCAAGCCGGCTACCTAGTGTAACCACGTGCCCTTGGATGCCTATGCCTTATATTCCCATAAACGCAGGGGGTCATTTAAGCGGTCCTCTGACCCTCTTTTATAAAAGACGGTTATTAGACCGTTTAAAATTAGTATTACTTATAAATCAAAAATATTTCACCTTTTCGATCGTCCTCGAGCTCGGGACCGTCTCATAGCCGTCTTATAGCCGTCTTGTAGCCGTCTTACACCGGTAGCCGTCCTCGTCCATATTTTTAAAACAGGCTTACTAATAAGCTCGCTTTAAAAAATCGAAATAATTCGACAACCATTTTAGAGAAGATATAATGGTAAATAAAAATCCTTTCTCAAATAAAATCGGTTCAATGACAATCTAATAAATTCGATGCCAAGATATTTCTCGGTATCGCTGCTACGGCTTATACTACTATATCAACGCTTTAATTTTTTTATAATCGGAATCGATCGATTCAGCAATAGTTCACCCGCGCTAATGCACCTCCATCGACTATAAACGCGGTAGTGCCATGAAGGAGTGATGGAGTAAAGGGTACCAAGCAATTAAAATGAAAAAGAGATTATTTGCTTATTAATTGACGTTCTCTAGGACGGTTTTAAGTTCGAGGACGGCCTTAAGACGGCCATAAGACGGTCTTAAAACGGTCTTTTCGCAAAAAGACCGACTTTTATGAACGACGATTTAATAAATTAAAGCGGTCTTATTTTATACATAATCTTTTAACGAAAAGACGAACTCTTATAAAAAACGGTTTAATCGATTAAAATAGTTCCATTCTAGTTACGATTTAGATAATTTAACTCGTTTGTTTTCAGATTCTGTTTCATCTTTAGTATCGGCCTAAAGTGATCCACTAATTATATTAAGCTCTCGAAACCGTCTCTTAAAGAGACCGTTATCGGATTATCAGCTGGCGGTTTAAATAACCCCCTACCTGCCTTTAAGGTACATGTCGGACCCAGTTTAGGCCTATACTAGTAAATCATAGAGCGCTGGTTTCTGAATGGCCCCAAAACCCTGTCAACTCTATTATACAGACATAAAACTGACCTAAATATACTTTTTCAAGGCTGGATTCTTACAAGTTGATTGGTTTCAGCCCTGGTAAGATCTCTTGTGAAATTATACTTTCGACATGTATTCATGGGGGGGGATCGTACTGTATACTACTATTTTGTACCTGCGTTCCATACTTTCTAGTTTGCGTTGCGCGATCTGCTAAATGCAGAGCAGAGCACCCCGTTAATATTTACTAGAATGCTTGAAAAGTGGAAAATAAAAAAACAAGTTGGAAAATTTGACTGGAGGCTCATATCATCGCACAAGGAAGGGATGATGATATGGAGGTTCTAGTCTGCAAATCTAACTGAATAGGGGGAGGGGTGGGGGTTTCGATCCAAGGAAAAGGAAAAGTCTCACGGCGAATTGGGAACTGGAGGGTTTGACGCGCTACCTCCTAAGACATCGCCCCTGAGTTTTGCCAGTTGTGGAAGAGAGTTATGGGAATTGTTTGCGTGAGGTGGGGGGTTTTTTTTTTGTTTTTTGTTTTATTTTATTTTGGTCCTGCGCGGGAGGCGAGAAAAGCCTGAGAGAGGAGGTGAGGGAGGTGAGGGAGGTGAGTTTGAGAAAGCGTTAAGACATTGGTTTTTGTTTTTTTTTTTTCAAATCGGTTTCGTATGTTTTGAATACTATATTTAATCACCTCGGACAGATATCTTCGTATGCTAAGTTTTCCTTCTAGACCTGTCGACACGCACTTGCTACTATGTAGTACATCAAAAAAGAAATTCCAGATCTTAACCGAAACCTCCAACTTCCAGTTTTCAGCCTTATAGCTGGGCCATCTCGCTAACGCACGACACAATACACATTCAAAACATCAAAACAGCCCAGACCTGGGAATTATCCCCCTGACTTACATAATGAGCCCCCCCCTTTCATTTCACGTATTTTTACCGCTAACCACCAACAGTAACAGAATCTGCTCAAATCAAACACTCTGATTGGGCTCGGACTTAGAGCGGACCTTGGCTCCGTAATATAGCAGATCAGGCATGCTTATCAGCGAAACCATCTTCATTTCTTCGCCTATACAAGCCCTCCATGTATTAATTCATCCAATCGCGCAACAAGCTTTGGGTGGACCCTTAATTTAATGTGAGTTCGACGGAATTCTGGGCTAAATTGCACTCGTTTCGCTACGACCTTTTTAAGAGATATTCAGTTTCACCCATTAGCCGTAATGGTATGTAAATAGGAAGTCTCCCACGAAGTTGAACAGCAGGTTCTGAGTTCCATTCTCTACACATACATTCTTTACATTCTCATCTTTACATTCTCACATTCACTATGCGGTCCGTGTTTTTCTTAAGCACCTTGCTCTGGTCAGCTGTTTCCGGCTACAATTGTAAGGCGCCATCCTCCCCAAGTTGACCTGTTGGTGGCAATCATCTTACAGGACTTTAGGGAAAAATGTGAAAATTGGCGGTGGTGGCGGGTTCGTGCCCGGCATCGTCTTTAACCCTACGGAAAAGGGACTCGCATACGCGAGAACGGATATTGGAGGTCTGTACAGACTGAACCCGGAAGATGACTCGTGGACGCCGCTGCAAGACTACGTTCAAAATGGACAGTGGTATGGACCCCCATCTCGACGTCTTTTCATTCTTCGTGCATATCTGATGATGACAGGAACGAATGGGGTGTCGATGCTCTGGCTTCCGATCCTGTCGAGCCCAATCGAGTGTATATTGCAGTCGGAATGTATACCATCGATTGGGACCCCAACAACGGCTCGATCCTGCGAAGCGAGGATTACGGCAAGACATGGGCTCGAAGCCCTCTTCCATTCAAGCTCGGTGGTAACATGCCTGGCCGAGGAATGGGCGAGCGTCTGGCTGTTGATCCCCAGAACAACAAAATCATTTACTATGGAGCTCGCAGCGGAAACGGCCTCTGGAAGAGTGTCGACCAAGGAGTCACGTTCGAGAAGGTCACCAGTTTTACTGCTGTCGGGACGTACAAAGCAGATGCGAGTGATACGACGGGGTACAGCAGCGATATCAACGGACTGGCTACTATTACGTTTGACCCTACCTCCGAGCTCATCAACGGAGCTAGCTCGAGAATCTATGTCGGCACTGCGGACAGGGACTCTTCGACGTGGGTGTCTGAAGATGCGGGAGAGACGTGGAAGGCGATGGCTGGCCAGCCCACAGGCGTTTTCCCGCACAAGATGAAGTACTCTACGGCCGAGAAGGTGCTTTACATCACTTACAACAGTGAGTCCGGGCCTTACAGTGCTGGCACTGGTTCGGTGTACCGAGTGGCGGCGGACGGCACCTTCTCAGACATCACACCTGCGTGGGCTACTACGCATAACCTGACCATTGGCTACGGCGGTTTGGCGTTGGATACGATGAGCCCTGGGACTTTGATGGTGTCTGCTATGAACCTCTGGTATCCCGATGTACAGATCTTCAGGAGCAACGATTCGGTAGGCATTTTTCTGTCCCCAGCTGACGTCCGCTAACAAAATATGTCAGGGTGCATCTTGGACAACCATCTGGGATTTCGACAACGGAAAACAGACATTTAACTACACATACGATGTAAGCACCCCGTGGTACTCCTCTACTTGATTTCTCCTTTGCTAAATTCCCCATCTACAGACGGACAAAGCGCCATGGGTCAGCAACCAACGTCAACCAGACGACACCAAAGTCCTCGGCTGGATGGTTGAGGCCCTCGAAATCAACCCCTTCGACAGCAACCACTGGCTCTACGGCACCGGCCTCACAATATACGGAGGGCACGATCTCGAAAAATGGCCCTCTGTCCACGTCTCCTCGCTCGCCGATGGTGTGGAAGAAACAGCCGTCAAAGGCCTGATGTGCCCTCCCGGGCTTGACGCGCCACTCATCAGTGCCGTCCTCGATGTTGCCGGCTTCGTACACAAGGACCTCGACGTCTCTCCAAATGATGTCTTCGAAGATCCCTTCTGGTCATCAACCACCGGCATAGACTTCGCAGGCCAAGCCACGTCCAACATCCTGCGAATCGGAAACTCGAAGCTCGCGACCTCCTCAGACGGCGGCACCACCTGGAAGCTCAACACTGCCGTCCCAGCCACCGCATCCGAGGGCTCCATCGCCTTTTCGGCAGACGCCTCGGTCATCGTCTGGACATCTTCCGCCGGTTCCCTGCTCGTCGCCAACGACAGCAGTACCGAAATCGCCACCCTCCCCAAGGGCATATCCGTCGTCTCCGACAAGGTCGACCCCAAATACTTCTACGCCGGCGACACCAAGAGGATCTACGTATCCAGCGACGGTGGCAAGTCCTTCGTGGTCACCGCCGAAATCGCATCCAGCGGCAACGGCAAGATGGCCGTCCATCCCGCGAAGGCAGGCGACGTCTGGTATTCCTCCAGCTCGGGTGTCTACCACTCGACCGATTTCGGGCAGACCTTCACGGCATGCCCCAGCGTGACAGGCGGGGAGGCCATCGCGATCGGCAAAGGTCCGGCCAACAGCACGAACGTCTACGTCTTCGCCACCATTGAGAGCGAGATGGCGCTGCGGCTGAGCAATGACGAGGGCGCCACGTGGACGGCGATCAGCAATGCCGAGTATGGCTTTGGGGCCGCGAGTGCGAATGTCCTGGCTGCCAGTTGGGATACGGAGGGGCAGGTGTTTGTCGGCACGAACGGAAGGGGGATCTTCTACGGCATGCCTTGATGATCGTGATGATGATGTCTTTAGGTTTGGAGCAAACGAGGCGGCTGGGTCGTATTTACATTCCGCTCGCTTCATAGAGAAAAATTGAAAGAAAAAAAAAACTTGTTTGTTTTTATACTCTCGAAAGAGGATGCGGCCTAGAACCTTTGATGTCTTGAAAAGCAATCGGTAAGATATAAGCTGAAGGCTTTTCGTTAGTTCGAGCTACTCATACTACAGTGGTGATCTCTTGAAGCTAAAAGTTTTTAAACCGCGATCGATTTCGTAGAAGTCCCCATTTTTTTGTTCTTTCTGCGATTAATCATCTCGAGCAAAGCTCCTACTTGCTTATACCCTCTTATCGGCAGCCACTTTAAGGCTACGCTTAAGCCTTTTAACCCCTTTAAAAAAAAGCTCTTTTTTGCTAATATCGCTTTTCGTAAAAGAAGCAGATCGAAAAGAGGTATGACGGAACCACTTTTCGATTCGATTCTTTGCGTAAGTTACTAAGCATATATAGAGGAAATAGCTTTGGCATATATCTAATGGCGAATCAAAAGATACAGAAGTATATAGTTGTAATAGAATTAGAGGTAAAAAGAAGGGGAAAAAAGGCGGGCGTTTGAGTAATACTCAAATGTATGCTGTGCATATCGTATTTTGTGGCTCGTCGATGCTAGTTTAAAATGGAACTGGCTACTCGTTGATGAAGGCGTGTGCACGTGACCTATTGATGGTCGTACAAGATACAGGGACAAAACACATATAGGGCATAAGCAGCACCATAATACCTACAGTAGCAAGCAGTAGCTAATAAATTAAGCTTAACTACAAAATATATTTCATCCGGGCCGACCTTGCCCGAAATTCAAAATTATTCGCCGACATTTCTTTAACAGTACCTTAGCACTGCTCATAAATCCTGTGCAAGCTTATATAAAATAGTCTTTACGTAATTAGATGACTTATCACTACCTACCACAACCCTTGGGACTTATCTTGGATCACCGCTGGTGATAATAAATATGCTTTTAGAAAGCGTAACAGCTTAGAAGTTGAGAGAACAATATATTACTTAAAGCGCGTTGTAGCCGTCCAAATGCATTACGTCTATAAGGTATATATTATATCATTAAAATCGCGATGTCCTTTAAGCTTATAGCTAAACCTTTTTTTAAAAAAAATCTTTCGTATACTTAGCAATAATAGCAGATTTTTGGGATTTTTTAAAGCAAATCACGCTTGAATTCGTGTACTCTTTCAACAAGAAACGCCTCCTCTTCTGCCGCAGAAACACTCGCGACTCGGACAGAATCAGGCGGGAAGAGCTTTCGCTTTCGTGCTTTGGCAGTGATCCAAAGATTTAAAGGATCTGCTGGACGACTGCCGACTGCAGTTCTCAAGGAATGATATCAACTGGACGGTCATCTACCGCGGTGGCCTGCAGACTGGTAGCAATTCTACCGAGGCTTGCTGGACACCATGCGTCTCTCGCGTATCTCGGCCCCTCTCTACCGTGGTTCTGGATCAAGATATCAAGAAAGGTCTTTTGACCGACCTGCGAGATTACCTCCATCCTCACACTCGAAGATGGTAGTCAGTGCACACCACCCCCAAATTCGTTGTCCCAGTTTCAAATAGACTCCTTCAACACACAAAAACTGACAGGCTATGTAGCTCGAACAGAGGTATTCCGTACAGACGCATCTATCTCCTTCTTGGTTCCCCAGGCAATGGCAAATCGTCCCTCTCCTTCGCAATCGCTGGCTATTTCAAGCTCAAGATCTACACCGTCTCGCTGAAATCCCCTGCAATGAACGAGGAGAATCTCAGAAGCCTCTTCACGGATCTGCCCCGGCAGTGCGTCGTCCTTCTCGAAGACATCGATACCGCCGGCCTGACCCACACCCGGGCCGCTCCCAAAACCCACGGGTCCGACGACGCCGAGAAGCCCGTCGCCAAAAAGGTTCAGCTCACCACAGCACCAGCACCAGGTGGCATCAGTAACCTCGGCGGAAACATCTCCCTCTCGGCCCTCCTGAACATCCTCGATGGTGTGGCCAGTCAAGGAGGCCGAATCCTCATCATGACGACCAATCACATCGATAAGCTGGACGAGGCCCTGATCCGCCCCGGGCGCGTCGACGTCGACATGACCGTCAAGTTCGACCTCGCCAACACACAGATGACACGACCATCTTCCGCTGCATCTTCGCCACCCTCAAAGGCGACGTCCCGCCACCACCACCGCCGCCGCCGTCGTCTCGCTCACACCCACCACCCTCGCTGTCGGATGTGATCAGGTGATAGACCAATCACGTGTCAAGACCTCTCCAGATGTATAAGTAGAGGGCTACTCCCCGAGTTCATCAGATAATAATTAAGAATCATTCTACTCATCTTTCTATCCCCGTGTTACCGTTCAACACTCGCCCCGGCCGCCGAGAGAGACCTTGCCGAGACGAAGGCCGCGGCTGAAACTGCCGCGGCGATGAAGAGACGGAGTGAGGATGCTAGGGTCGGGAAGTCGGCAGAGGGCTTCGCCGGGCTGATACCCTCTATGACGTTCAGCCCGGCTGAGATCCAGAGCTACCTGCTGAAGCAGAAGCGGTTGCCGGAGGAGGCTATCCGCGGGGTGTCGAAGTGATTTGAGAAGAAAAGGAGCGAGAAGGAGAAGACGTCGGAGGAGGAAATGGAAAAGGAAAAGGAAAAGGAAAAGGAAAATCAGGAGAGCGGGGAGAGGAAAGACGAGACGGAGAAGAGCGCGAAGGGGTGAGATCTGGTGGATTCTTGGGGCTGAGGTGTAGATGAGTAAAAAAAAAGGGGGGGGGCAGGGGGGAATTGGAGGATTTGGAGGATCTGGAGGATGATGTAGGGTGGTGCATTTTTTCAATTTCAGGCGGAGGTTTTAAAAGGCATCTGAAGAGTATTGTGGCCTTCGCTGCATACTGACTAGACTGGTTTACGAAAACCACTTTCTGAAGTCTATTCGATGACAACACTCGCTAATCTCACTCGCTTTCTTGTAAGCGAGACCTTTCCGCTCGAGGCCTACCTAGGCGAGTCGGCGACGACCAGCCCGTTCCTCGAGTAGTACGTACGTATATACCTACCCGTTCCACAGCACTCGCCGGCAGGAACCCTCTATACCGCGGCGGAAAAAGACGGCGTGGTGATTCTTAGAACGACTTCATATTGTGCAAAAGCAGACCTGCAATGCATGCTGCAGTTTCTAGTCTTATAACCCTATACCGCACGACACTTCGCAATACCATTAGTCAGGCGCGAGTACACAGCAAGCTTATCCGGAACCGTCACGTCAGAATCGAAGTGCCGCCGGTTGTTTGTACACCTCTCTCAACCAACTCACCCCTTACCAGAAGCCACGGATCCGGTTCCGTGCTGCACCGCACCTGCGTCGCTCGAGTTTCCCGTTCGTGGTTTGTAAATGCCGGTTAGGATACCGCAGCATCGGGTTGTTGCAGTGTCGTGAGGAAGACGCGTGATGGGGCCTGGCTCGGACGAACGAGCGAAGGAGTTGGTTATACGAACTACACGCTACACAAGGCAGCGGCGAGCTTCCGGAGGCCAAATTGTACACACGTAAGCTTTATATTAGGATGATGGAGCGACGGGAATGGGAATGCAGGTGACCGTTGGCTTGAGGCAGTGAGGCTGGCTAGTCGTCAAGGTTGTGGAAAGGTAGCTTGCAAGCACGGAAGTTGAGGGTGGAAAACTGGAAAAGTGAATTCTCGTATATCTTTCTTCTTTCAGTTTGACCCTACCCTGTGTGATTCCCCCGAGTCTTTTGACTCAAGCGTGGATGTAATATAATTATGTTTGTTATTCAGCGTTTGTAAATCTCTTATTCTTGTAAGGGATTCACGGAGATGGAAGATGAGCCTCTGTTGTTGACATTAACCCCCAGCGCTACTCGTCGTCACTACGATATCTTCACCGGAATCGTCAAGAACGAAGCAGCAGTAGTTACTGTACGCGGTCAACGAAACCAATATTTCGGCTTCTTCAACGACTTCGGAAAACCAGTAGCCAGCTCAGGTCTGCAAACCCGCGAGAACGAGAGGCAATAGTGTTGCAATCTTCAAGAAAGAAGCTGCGGGCGCCAACTATCTCAAAGTTATCGCTATCGAGGATGGACTCGAAGATCGATGCGCTGCCGTATAAGTGGCCGGCGCAAGGGGGTCTTGATCCAACGACGACTGCGTTGATGATTATCGATATGCAACTGGACTGTAAGCTCTTGTCTCTTTCTCTTTTCACTTCCTTAAAGTCCTTGGTTCTTCTTTCCACGCCACGGTCACATGTTTCTGAAGCCATCTCGAGTCCTCGTCAATAATAACCCCCCCCCCCCCCCCCACGACTCGTTCGTCCATCGGGGTCAGTGACCAAGACTCGACACACATCCCGTTCAAGTTCATCTACCACCTACTAACCAGCTACCAGTCTGCTCCCCGGACGGCTACCTCGTTCACCAAGGCTACGACATCTCCCCCGTGCGAGCCATCATCCCCCGCCTCCAAACCCTCCTCTCCCTCTTCCGCACACACGCCTTCCCTATCTACCACACGCGCGAAGGCCACCGCCCAGACCTCTCAACCCTCTCCCCCCGCGAAGCGCACCGCTCCCGCCTCAACCCCTCCGGCCTCGGCATCGGCGACGGCGCAGGCCCGGGCGGTCTCGGCCGGTTCCTCATCCGCGGCGAGCCCGGCCACGCCATCATCCCCGAGCTAGCGCCCCGCGCCGGCGAGCCCATCATCGACAAGCCCGGCCGCTCGGCCTTCCAGCACACCGACCTCGGCCTGCTGCTGCGGCTGAAGGGGGTGCGGAATCTGGTCCTGGTGGGCGCCACGACGGACGTGTGCGTGAGTAGCACTATGCGTGAGGCCAACGATAATGGCTTCGACTGTCTGCTCGTGAGCGATGCGTGTGCTGCGAGTGAGGAGCGGCTGCACGCGGGCGCTGTTGGGAGCGTGCTGGCTGAGGGCGGGATCTTCGGGGCTGTGGCGAGCTGTGATCGGGTTGTTGCCGCGTTGGAGGCGCTGGCGTAGGATCTTCGGGGGGGCGGAGGGGGGGAGGGGTTTGGGTTTGTCGCTGGGTTTTCGGCTCGTTTCTTATCTACCTGTTGAAGGCGGGTTGTTTGGTTTGCATGGTTTCGGCGTACGCACCTAGACACAAAAGTGAGTAACACACACCGGTACTACGTATAAGAGAATTTCTCGCTCCCAGCACACTTTTCCACAATGCACAAGCCTCGAGCCGAAACGATCCATAAGCAAGGCCGTGCCTCATAACTATTATCCGTACCAATCACGTGGTCTTACTCTGTCCGATCTTTTACGCCTTCGCTCGAGCTGACATTCTTGCTCTTTTTTTCCTTTCTTTTCTTCTTCCAGCGTATGGAAACGTAGCGATCTTTCTATCTCTCCACCCGATACAAAGTTCGTCAGTGGCTTACTAAACAAACTTTTATAATCCGATACAGTAGAAACGGAGGTCTGGCCCGTTCCATACTCGCGATGGATGAGAAAACCGTCAATCTCATAAGCTACTTCGTACATTCTCTATCAGATCAAGTAATGATTAGATAATTTGATTGTAGGCCGCAGATTGATGGCTTGTTTACTCCCGTGATGCTACTTCTCCTGCCCGACCTCTGCGCGATACAGTTTTGGTGTAATAGCACATCCGTCCCATGGCTATAATGCTTATTAAGAGTTTCTCGGTCAACGACTTGAAAGAGGTGGATCGCAGGAACAACACAAGGTTAGGGAGCTGTACTACCTACTACGTACTACGTATATGCGGGGTACACGAGAGAAAGAGCTAGCGAGAGCAGTCAGAGTTTTACAGAAGATCCTCGAGTTCAACGAGCAAGTTACGTAGTACGTACCCTCGAGGGGTAATACTTAGGCCTGTACCGAGGTACAACTCGTATGCTACGCTACCGGGATTGAATCTCGCTCTCAAGCTTCCATGTTCATCGGAAAAAAGAACAAGAAAACCGATGATCATGCGATCCGATGCTTATCAGGCTGCTGGCTGGATGTCCGTACAACTTGAAACAGAGGTAAAAGTGAATCGAAGCCGCTATTCCAAGGAGGTAGCCCGAAGCCGAAATGCTATTCCTATTTTAAGATACGGAGTAATAGTCAGTGCGCTCCCTGCCTCTTTACGGTACAGAATACGGACGTGCGGGCTTCTCGGTAACAACGGTAATGTCAAGAAGGTCCCGAGGAAAAAATAATTTTCAGCTGAGAGGGCTATATTTAGCTTACCAAGGCAATTTAGACTCGTTGAAACAACTCAAATCTGGATTGTGTTTCGGCCTTGAAATTCCTATGACACATTCCAGAACGGTACTTGCTTCTACTACGTAGCCACGGTACACGCGTCATTATTACACCTTTAAAGGTGCTTTAAAAAGTTAAATTTCCACTTTAAACCTCCTGGGCAACCCTACCCTCAAGGGTGTAACAATTACGCTTGCGACGTAGAACATACTACTACTACGTAGTACGTAGTAGTAGTGCTTGGTATGTACCTAGTAGTACTTGGTATCAATCCTGTTAAACTGCGCCCCTTCCTTTCCAGACGGCCGGTTACGGATTTCCTATTCCATGGAACCTGGCAGAGTTGTGTTTCTTGCATGCCTCACCTCACCTACACCCTCCCGCGCCTCTCCATGCAAGAAAATTTTGAGTAATACCGCTTACATGGAAAAAGAAAAAAAAAAGTACTCCAAGATCTCGACCGGAGGCCTTGAAGCTATTCACAATCGCAATCTTAAGGGAAAGTGGTAAAGACAAGTAGATTGTCCGTAATTACAACGAGCGCGCCACGTGCACGAGCTATCGTTTTACAAGTACTCAAGAAGCATTATAGGCAGGGTAGCCAATCAGCGCACTAGCTACTACTAGCTAGTATTACGTATCGTTTACATGCATGCTCAAATGAAAAACGAATCTTCTCGCTATTACTGTACTGTAGGAAGGACACGTGGGGGCGGGCTCCTGTCGCTCCGTGATAAGCTTGATCAAGTACCGCGCCTTGACTCTTCAAAGGCCGCTAAAGTACAATTACTACGGTACGTATGTATAGTATGAAATGCGTTCGTCGCCTTGCTTGATCGATACAGATTTCTCTTGACTCTTGAGAGGGCTTGGGAAATATATTTGTCTTTACGTTGAGACCGTGTATACGAAGGCAAGTCCCAATTGTTTGGATTCCCAACATAAGCGACATCGCTGAATCTTTTTCCTCGCGTTACTTTGTAGAGCGGCGGGAGGGGTTGGGTGGGGTGGGGTATCCGTACCAAA